TCATCTACAACCGCAGTTCATATATGAATTATTTCATATAAACTTCACAACATTTTAAAATATTTGTGCATTGAAATCTCATCAAAAAGGAACGATTGTTTTGCACCGTCATACCTTCTTCATATGAAATCAGCTTGCGACGTTTCCGGTCATGCTAATTTTTGAGTGGATTTCAACTCCCTTCACTTTTGCGGACCTTCTCGGTAGCTAGTTACTCCCGTCTGTCAACTCAACAACATCAGGAAGTCAATGCAATCTACAGCCGTTAAGCTAATAACAGGAGAACCAAAGTACGTCCTTTCCTCGGTGAAAATTACGAAGTTATTTTACTTGTTCCAGGATCCTGTAAAAGACTACTTGGGCAAAAATGAAGTAATAACGAACTGTGTTTTGCGTTTTGTCATTGCCTCGGTAAGATTTTGCGACTGACTAAGGCGCGGCCATCATCATAGTGAGGTGCTTGGCACGCAAAAAAGGTTTATATTTGCGACATATATATCAGTGTCTGTTCCTCCGTGAGTGAATTTCTGTTGTTAAAATTACAGGACACTGATCGTGTTACTTACAACAGCTCCGACAGGTATAAACGCGAAAGCCTGAGTTCGAATAATGGTGGGGAAGGCACTAGGTTACTGGTAACTAGCATACTCTGTCTTGCTTTTTCTTGCTTCTGTCTTTGCCCCACATGAATATATTCAAGAGGCGACGAATCTGGAACCCAGATTACCTCTCGACATTCTTTCAAATCAATCAAAAACTACTAGCCCTAATTTCAATGAGATATTTCCGTAGTTTATTGAAGACAATACTGAAAAACTTATAGTATTTTACGAAGTATAAAACTGTACATTTTAAATAGTGTAACTCTCCTTTATACAGATGAATCCAAACAAAACGTTATTCAATAAATACTGCATCCTGTTACTATACAAATTCACTGCGGACTGGACGCTTTTAACTTAGGCACTGATGATTTACCAGCTTGTTAAAAATATCATCATTCTGACGGTGCATTGAATTTAAATTTGTTTAAATAACTTGATTTATCTTTGAGCTACGGTGCTCTTAGTCGCGATTACGTTGTAACTCTTTTCCGAAAGAAACGTTTTGAGCTAAGGCCCTTTTCTCTCCTAGTGATTTACAGAAAATTTGTGAAAAACAGTAGAACAAACGTTATTGAGATCTTCGGAGTAAAAAAGTTATCATTTTCACAGGACAAAGGACATGTCTGTCTTAAAGTTTGTAGATCAAACAAGATCTAATCCTATAGTTTCTTGTTCATTGATGATCAATCACTTCACCGAAATGACGTTGCAGGGCAATCAAGTAAGAGCCTCTGGTAAAACATCACGAGTGCTCTGCCATGTTCCACAACTTCAACTTCTGCGCACGCCCGCGGCCTGCTTTGTCGGACGCACAGCAACACCACTCACTGACAGTTCATCAACAGATCTTGCACCAGTCTTTAGCGGCTTTTTCCTCGGCTTGAGCCTCGGAGTGGACTGGTTCGAATCGGTGCCGCTGACCTCAGGCGGTCCGCGGTATCTCTTTTGGATGGTGTGTCCCTTGCCGTAATTGACTCCATACTGGTGGACAGTAGAGGGCGGAGTCACGTTTGTCCAGAAGGTTTGCAGTTCGCCTGATAAATTGACAACAAAAAGGTAATTTAAAACTTTGATTTTAAAAGTATTAAAGGGCATGCAAGGTAAAAACTGAACAAGAAACAAAACAACAAACGAAGCTCGCGAGAAATTAACGGATGGATGCATGAACTCCATGAAGATAGTGGGATATGAAGCGGGGAGGGGAGAGGAGGGGAGAGAGAGGGGAGGAGAGAGGGAGGGAGGAGAGGGAAGGAAGGAGGTTATAATACTTGCCTTCTTGTAGATTACTTGCCGCGGAAGTGGCCGGTTTAACCGTTGTCTTCGCACCTTCATGCTCTATTCCTTGTACAGGGGTGGGTTTTGAGGTACTTGTTCCTCTTGATCGTGGCGGTCCGCCAGCTTTTCGTCCCCCCGTGCTTTGTCCTCCATACACTCGATTCCTTACGTTTGATTGGGCCAATACGGCAGCAACCTTTTGCCTTGCCGCCTCCTGTAATTCTTGCTTGCGTGTGAGTCGAGGTTTCACTGAGCAAACAAATTTATACCCGGACAGTGCATGATTAAAATTTTTACAAAAATGTTCTCGGGCTATGCACAATATTCAAACTTCGAGCTTATGGGTGTCGGACTACAATCTTTGATGGATAAAAATTGAAAACAAAACTGACCCATCGAAGGCTGCTGTGTGACAGCCGAAAACTGGAAGTTTTCAACACTAAAAGGCAATGTTTTTTGTAAAAAAATAAAACATTTGTTTGTTACAACTTAGCGTCCCACTCATCTCGAACTCATGTTATTTTTGTCTCAGCGATTTTATCAAACCACTTAACAACATTGCCCAACATTGACGCACCGTAACCAACTTAACGGCACAACGTGTTCCACAACTAAGTTTCTAAAATGTTGGTACGACAGGGTGAGAAAAGACCCCCATCTTTGTATGTTTTGGAACTAAAAAAACTCGGATTTTTTTGCATTTTTGTCGTTTGTTAAAGTACTTATTCAATGGCAGAAAATCCAGGAGGAGGTGCAGCACAGGAAAGCAGAGGATATGATTACAAAAGACCACACAGTTAGGCCCAGTTCATACGTCGCATTTCTGCCGTGTCGAATTCAATTCAATTAAGTGCGGCAGAAATGCGGCTGTGGATTCATACGTCGCATTTGTGTCGCACTTAATTCAGAATTTATACTGTCGCGTATGTCGGCCAGCGGAAAATGTTTTAAACGTAGAGTATTCAATATGGCGGACGAAAATACTGAGCGACGAAGGACTTCAATTTTGCTAAAAATTGTCCGCCAATAGAACGAGAAGGAGAAGGCTGACAACGGAGCAGTATGTGTTGCAATATGTTCAGGTTGCATTGTCAAGAATGGCCAAGTTTCTTCTTTTTCTTTGGCGGGAAAACATTTACGCATGCTCAATACATTAACATAATGTATGCATTAGATTCGACACGGCAGAAATTCGACGTCTGAATCRGTGTCGCATTTCTGTCGGATAATGCGACAAGACCAGTCGAACGTGCGGCAGAAATGCGGCAGCCGATTCAGACGTCGAATTTCTGTCGAATTTAATTCGTTGAATTGAATTCGTCACGGCAGAAATGCGACGTATGAACCGGGCCTTAACCTTTGATCTGTGTAAGTCGATGGAACGTCAGTTGCAAAATAAGCTTTTTGAAAGCTCCATTTTCCATACACCGTATAAAATCTCAATGTTCTTCATTGATATTTAAATTTCAGTACTCGGACATGAATGATGAAATGCGAACTGAAGCAAGCATTCTGGACCAACAATGTAAATGTTACTTACATCGCAATATTGGGACCGTTTAACAAAAGCATAACATATGAAGTGATTTATAATTCTACTTGAAAATTTTTTCAAGATGACAACATTAAACAAGCAACAACAAATGACAGTCGAGGATGGAAGGGTAGATTTTGTTCTCTTTCCTCAGTTTTGTAAGGGTCAACAAAACAGTTGTCAACTGCTGCGACTCATGACAAGGCCACCACACTCACCTCTCAACACCTTAGAATCATCTAGCGACGCGGAACGTAACCTCCTAGGCTTTCTTTGAGGGGGCTTTTTCACTTTGCTTCTAACAGCTCCCTTTCTTTTGTCCACTGGAGCCGAGTCTTCTGATGACACGTCTCCTGCTCTCTTGTCAATCACGGACAAGTCACTCATACTTCGAGACGCCTTCGCCGATAGTCCGTTGTCGGATTTTAACTTCTGACTTTCCGCAGCTTGTTCATGCACACGCATGTCTGTAACAGAGTTCGACTTGGCAGGAAGTTCGCCATCAGGCCCCAAGCTAGTTTTACTGTTACTGCTAAGATTCTTGTCCAGGCCCACTCGGCGGCGTGCGGCGATCTCGGCGATTTTTCGCGTCCTGGCAAAGACAGGACTAACCGGCGTGACAGGCTTCAATTCGTCATTTCCATCGTCCATGACGGACGACACTGTTGGTGAACTGCGTTCACTTTCACCTTCGTCGGTAAAACTTAGAAGCTTTTTGGTCCTCTTGGGGGTAGGCAAAGGTTGCGGTGAACTAGAAAATGAAACAAGCACACCAGGTAAGTACTGTCACTATGGTTTCCATAAACATCAATAAGGTATGTCACGCAATTACAAGTCAGGCAATAGACTTTCGCGTGCTTTCGACTTTGGGGAAACTCCAAGGCTATGGATACTTGCCCATATGAGACCGAAGCAATTTCGTTTCAAGCTATAAGGACATGATTATTACGTTTCTGCAAGACCTTTCATGACTGAGCTTCTTACGTGGGAATCCTTGTTCAAAATATTGCCTCATTAGCATAAGCGAATCAGTTTCTAATGGAGCTACAAAAAAACTAGTTCTGAATATTGAAAGGTCATAGCACGATTAACTCTGCTAACGAATTTGAGCCTGATGTATCGAACACTTTTTGTGCGATGCGGGTTTAAAAACTAAAAATTTTACAACGTATGTATGAAACTCGTTAGTACTTTTTCCACCCAGAAATTGTGCAGTTTTCAAAAGCCAATTTCTCCTTGAAAATTACACACAAAAAGCTAAAAAATTCACCATGTACTAAGTGTCACAAGCCCTTTAACTGTTTGAGTCAATTCATATTTAACAAGTAGCCCTCTGAACGCAAACCCGTATGCTAATGAGCCAAAATGTGAAAAGTGACGTCAGCAGGAATCCCCCTATATTTAAAGGAGCTACGTCATGATTTGCGTTTCTTGAAATGACTAGTCCTTAATTTTTTAAGTTCGTCGTTTGTAATCCATAGCAATCTTCTCCATCCTTAATCATCCTTGTTTCTTTACGGTTGATTATTATCTCTTTGGTGTTTTTCTATCTTAGTAAACTATTATTTTTAGGTTTCCTCCAATTTAAAGGTTATTTTGTATGAGCCCCGTGACTGAGTTCCTTTAAAGACTTACGATACATTTCGTCATACACTCAATGTAAAGCTACGATGAGTTACTCTGTCATACTCAGTTATATTTATTTTGTCAGTTTACACTGGGAGATACTTTGTAGTACAATAACAAGAATCTCACCTGGCTTCCCGTGTGAACACGTCGTCTGACATCTGAGTGCGAACAGAAGGCGTTGCACGTGACATCTTGACTGGTGAATTCTGAAGTGATACCAGACGAGAAGGCGTCTCTTCGCTCAGTGGGGACAGCTTACTGAAGGTGACTACAATGGAAAGAGTGGAGTACGTCCTTTTAGCTTGTTAAATCAAAGAAAACTTTCACTGAGTTGAAAACTTTCAGCTTTCCACGCACTAGTTAGTCTCTTCCATAGCCATTATTTGAGTCGTTGGGGCAATACAGATCACCCTAATAACTTTGAAAGAAAAGCAAATATAACTATGATACTTACATAAACTCTCTCGTGCCAAGGGCGTCATTCGTCGATTTAACCCGGCAAGGAGCGACGCCTAAAAGAACCAAAGGTATTAGTTTGAATTTCTAGAGATAAATTACTATATAGAGAGCACGGGTTGTTTTGCCAAACTCTCCCAGCCTGAGTAAAGTATAAGAAAAGTTGTAAATTCTCATTGTCCAACCATATAAAACCCTGACCACTCAAAAACGTTGCCGCTAATATAAAACCCTAGCAGCATCCTTCCTGAAATCGCAGGCTCCTAAATCCCCGGAAAGGAATACAAATCTGTGTTGTTCTTTCTTAATTCATGATAACCAATTCTCTTTTGAAAAAAATGCTGAAAGTAATCAGCGGAACAGGTGACGTGATACCTTTTGTAACGAGCTAGTTGAGCCTTGTGAGTTTTCTTGAGTACTTGCAGCACCGTTTTCACGTTGTTCAAAGTCAGCGGATTGTTCCATGTAAACATCATAAAGAGCCTCGAGTTCTGCGGAACGCTGTATCCCAGAATCTGCAAAGGTAACAATTTAAGTTTCAACTGAGGCCGGAAGGTCGGTAGTGCGAAACAAATATCGTCGAGAGAGTTCTGCAGATTCAAAAAAACAACTGCACGGGTGCAGTTTCCTTTGCCTCTTGTTGGTGAAAATGAGATAAATATTATTGTTGATTCGCACGAAGTGACTTTGCTTCATGCAGTGGAACCCCGATGAAACCATAAAATTGTGGTCGTGCATTAACGGGTTAATTAGGTGGCCGAACACAGTTTTCGCGCGCGCTTTTGCTGATGCAATTCAGCGCGCACACAAGGATTGAAAAACAAACATGCCTTCAATAGAGCGATCATTTTATTTTCTCAACACCCGCACTATATGCGCTATTTTTCTCCATTATTGAACGCAGTGTATTGATGCCTTTAGTCTTTTATTACAAAGCTATGTTAAAAAAGGTAACGACGCAAAGAACCCAGCAATTCTCAGCTTTTTCTTTGTTACCGAAAGAACTCAGTTAAATGCAGCGCATGCGCAGTTGCTCGAAAAATT